AGCCCTGAAGATGATCTCAATAATGGTCGAAACTTTGGCACGATAAAGAAATGTTTTTCCAAATCTACGTCGATGTCAGACCGCGTCTAATGATCTCCAAATAATTGCTAATAATTAAAAAAGCTAATAATTAAACATTATATAGTGTTTAAAACTTGTTTGCGCGTTTATTTTACAATCAAATTATAAAAATAATTAAATTGAACAATTTTTCTTTTTTTAATATTTGTTTGAAGTCGATTGGTTAAATGAATATTAAACTGATACACGTCTTAAAAAAAATCGTATTTACACAAAACGAATGCGATACCTTGTAAATCGGTATTTGCTAAGATCCGACAGTTAGTTCAAGGCGTCCAATTAGAGTTATAAACAAACAAAACAGCCCTGTTTGCCATCTCAGTTTACTCAACCTCGCTCAATCCATTACAGGCGTCAACCTTGCTCGCAGTTAATCCGGACGTGGCCGGCCTAATCCACAGACAAGAGCACTTAGACCCTGCGTTGGATCCCTGGTCTGGTCATGAGCCGCACAACTTCGGACGAGGGGGGAATTTGAAGTTGCCAACTGGGACATCCTCATCTCGGAATTTAGCCACGTTGAAAGGCCAGGGACCTTGAAAAGTTACACCTTCAGTGTATATAACTCACACAACTGTGGAAACTTTCTTAAGTAAAAAGGCCACTATTGGTCCATTATCGGGGTCGAAACGTCTCTTGTATAACTTGTCATGTCACGTTATCATGCTAATGAACAAAATGTACAGAAAAAAGAAGAAGCTTTTTTATGTTTGTTCAAAGACAGATCAAAAGATAATTTATTAAAAGTGGTACATAATTATTTATACAAAATAAAATAACAGATTTAGTATATTTGATTTAATTCATTGTAGCACATATAGTTATATATGTAAAATATTTCAATAGATCTACTGTTGATTAATCTTTTTCAGAGGATCCAAACTTACCAATATGATCTTTTTTTATTATTATTATTTATTTTTATTACAATCTGTAATTATTATACATACATGTACAACTTACATACATATATACATGGATACATGAACTTATGTACAACTATTTACATTGAGGGGAGAAAATAATCAATGTTATCCTCCCACTAATTTTTAATATTTTTTTTATCTATTTTTTAATATTGATAAAGTTACATAACATATTTTATTAATTGGAAAATTTTTATTGTTTTAATTTAATGAATAATGTCTAATAAAGTAAGGTTTAATGTATTAATCGATGCTCTATACTTGAATAACACGTGTGACAAAAATAAAAAATAAATAAACGAAAAAAGAGATAACAAATCTGGATTAATTACTTCTTTTATTACTGTCTAAAAGGAATAATAAAAGTTTTCTCGTATTCTGTTTCAATTTGGATTTATTGATTGAAAAGCATTGAATCAACCTTTTCAACAACAATAATTTAATTTGCAAATCGAATAAGGATTTGAATGATTTATCTGAAAAACAGCTTCAAGATCTTAACAAGAAAGAGGATTTCTGTTCAAAAGGGTTACAGAGTAATTTTAAACATAGTTTCAATTTTGTATTTTCAATCAAGCTCTATAAGTTAGTAAAGAAAGCTAAAAATTAGAGTTATAAGCAATTGTGTATCTTGAAACTTAATATCATGGTTTCAAAAAAAGTAGTAAAATCTGCAGGCTTTTTTTTTTTTTTAACGTTTAAACCAAGTTGCTTTAAAATGGTGAGATCCAGAGAATTAAAAATTAGACAACATTACGCACATACAAATTAAACAAGCATAAGCATCAGACAAGTTTCTATCAGGGCCTGTTGAAGTGGATAGATTGAAATATGCATTATATTTGAAACAAACATTTCTTAGATCTATGTCCCACCTAGATCTGCATGTAAATTGGTCAGGCGTGTATCATTTTTGGTTTAGTTTCCCAATGGATTTATACTTTTAATGAACAATCCTCAATTAAACTGTGTGTCTTTGATCAAACGAACAAATGTACACACGGCCGGGAATATATAAAAAAATTGACAAATAAATTTACTTTACCCTTCTGGTTGCTGAACCTATTTTCGTTTTGTTTTATCACACAATGTTTTAAAATTATGAGATGGGGGTTTTCTATTACGCCTCGTTTACTCAACGTCCGGACTAAGGGGTCTTAAACGGACGGCTCTTTTGATCAAACCACTGACAACAATTTATTTGACTCCCTGGAAAGCTTTTATACCATTATATAAAGAATCTTTTCGTAAATGAATTGTTTACGCCTGTTTGAGGGGAAAAACGGCGGATATTGCAGATTCGGAATAGTTACAATTGCTAAAACCCGAGGATTTTGAGGATGGCATGGGATGTATCACGTGATTTGAAAAATTATCGATAAAACAGATATAAAAAGACTTGTATTTAAAATTAATGCAATTTTTTATGTTTTAAAATTTATCATTGTATTTGGATAATTAAAGATTTAACGGTCACCCCCTATAAACAATATTTTTAAAATATTAACCCATTTATTTAATGATGTAATTTAATGATGTTGTTTACGAGCAAATTACAACACATGTTGTGACATCGTATATATGATTAATACATTTATAGAAAAGGATTTTTTAAATCTGAAAAATAAATGTCTAATCCAGTTTTTGGTTTTTAATTTTCAAAGTTCGACGATTGTTAAAATTATAGTAACAAATTATAATTAATTAAGGTTTTCAGTTGAGATAAAAAAGTCGAGCGGGATTCGAACCAACGATCTTCGGCTTGATACGCCGCTGCTCTACCACTTGAGCTATCGTGACCTCGATCCGCTCGGACACCAACTTCCCATCTCAACCCCACCTTTTGAATTTTCCCTCCTTTTTGCCATTTTTCAAATGTCGTGTAACGGATTGGATTCTCGACGACAAATGAAATGGCCACGGAGAGCTTTAGTGAAGTAGACTTCATTTGCAATCATTAAATTCAATAATTTCGTGGTCCGCTTGACCTCAACTAAAAACCGTAATTAATTATAATATATTAATTGGTCAGCGGACCACGAAATTAGTGAATATAGTGACATAATTTTCAGATTTTCATATTAGTTAAATAAACTGATAGATTTTAGAAAAACTATACAAAGTAACAAAATATTCAATAAGGACTAATCTACAACAATGGATTAATTTCAAGTGTTGAGTAAAACCTTGAGTGACACAAAGTGAGTAAAAGCAAGCAGATATAACGAACATACTCGAAAATTAAAAACTAGTTGAAAAGCTGATATCCCTCAGATATATCAATAAAAACAAATAAAATGTTCAATAAGGGCTTGTTTACAAGAATGCAGTATTTTCATTACGAGTTATATCAATACTTAAAATGGAAGAGGCATGTACGTCTCCATAAAAAACAAGCTTACATGCAAACTTAACATTAGTTCGACAAAATTCATGTCACTCAAAAATGCCCTAAGAACAAATAAATTAATCAATAATGACTTATCTACAACAATCAACCATTTTCATTAGTATTCTAGTTCTATCAGTGCCTTAAATGGGTGAAAGCAATTCCTCGGTAAAAACAAACATGCTTGGAACTTTAAACTAGTTTAACCAAGCTATTAAATGGTAGAAAAACTATAAAAACAAATAAATTATTCAAAAGGGCTTGTTTACAACAATGGATTACGAGTTATACCGTTGTTTCCAATAACTGAAGGCATTTGCGATTCTACATCAAAAACAACCATACTTAAAAATTAGCACTAGTTTAACTACACAGTTAAAAAAAAAGTGTGTCATTTCGAGTTAATTCGGTACATTTTTAGCAACAATTTAAAGTTTTCAATTTGATTTTCATGAAATTGTGATTTAGCGACTATTCTAGTTAACCTGTACCATTTATTTATTTATTTACGAGGGTTCGCAATAGCAGAGATTATATAAACCATTAGGGCGCCGGCGTTTTTGAAAAAAAATCCCATGCAGGGCCGCTGGATTCGAACCCGGGACCTTTACCTTACAGCGATGAGCGCGTGTCAACGCCTAGACCGTTGCGGCCACCGACGTCCCCCTTTATTTGTTGATATTCGTTAAACAATCATCGATAAAACCGATTTAGGTAATGTCTTGCACTATTAAAAAGGTGGGATTGTAACTTTTTAAATTCGGGTTAAATGATCAATTTCTTATTTGTTTTTGTAGTATGTTTTTTGTCTAATTTTTCTTTCCACAATTTATGATATCGAAAATGTTAGATGTAACTTCCGTTGTTCGCCAACGAGTCTCGAGTTATTAAATCATTCTTATGAAAAAAATGTAAAGTTACATCTTTACATTTCTTTTTGGGTTTGTATTGTAGTACAAATAAACTTAAGTTTACTACGCAGAATGTAAAATGTTCACTGTTAAAAAATTTGTCTAACAATTTCAAGCAACCAATCAACTGCATACTGCTAGTTTGGAGTCAAATGAGTAATAAATTATTTTACTTAGTTGTTTAATTATTTAAGTTTTTTGGTTCAGATTCCTTCTTTATTAATGCCGCTGATATAGCTGATGTGTTATTCAGCTATATGTCAACGAACAATTACAACAAAATATTTAAAAAGTTCCAAGCCTCGCAAAAACCGAACTACATGTTACATTAAGATGTTCCATTGTTCTTTAAATCTGAGTTCTAGACCCGAAATGGATTTTCTCATAAACGGTTTAATTAAAGAGCACGGCTTTATATCATGTAAATAATTGTTGAATTTGTTGAGTTTGCTTTCATTAATCACTTTGAGAAGGATTGTTAATCAAAAGGGAGATTTAATTTACAAAAATATGTCAGGCAAAATAAGGCAAATAGGACGAGGTCATCGATAAGCTTTTAACAAAACAATTCTAAACAGGGACTTCCTCTTTTGTATCATTTCTCTTATTAATAATTGTATTTAAATCTAAAACGATTTGAAATTTAACGGGTTTTGATTTAAAAAAATGATATGATCGTTTTTATTTATTTACCTTAACCAAAATTCAGCGTCAAGAAGCCAATCGCTGTTCGTTTGTGCTGGAAGACCTCTTCCCCTATAGAAAAGTTCTCCGTCCATGTCCAAAACGTTGAGTTTGTTTGGGAGGAAATCTAACATTTTCGAATGAAAATGAACATTCCTCGTTATAACAAGGGCTTCCTTTATATTCTTGAAAATCAAATGCATCATAGATCGATTCCAAATTATTATAATTCTTACATACGCACTCGGCATTTCTGTTTGGCTATTTTCATTATTTTATTATCCCACGGAAGGTAGGCCCTCTTGATTTTGGGTGTAAGGAATATCACCCATGACGGGATCCAGTTTTCATTTTTCTCGTAGGCTCTTTTCATAATCAATTCGGTCACTTCTCCAGCTGGAACAGAAAATATACGTGTATAATATTTTCATGAAGTGGGAAAACAAATTTTCGGCCTAATAATGAACAAAGTATTTTGTTTAAAATATATTATTTAGTGATTATTTGGAGACGGTGTGATGCAGTCTTGTGTGATGTAGGTTCAGAAAAACATTTTCTTTATGGTGCATAATATCATTAATTTTCGGTTACTAAATACTACACATATATTATGTAGGCTGATAAGTGTCTTTTTACACTAATCTCAAGTTAGTGTAGTTAATAGTTAAAAATCTAGCTGAACTTGAGAGTTACAATCTATTGATGAATCTGAACTTTTTGTGAAAATGTTTTTTTTTAATGATGTTTTCTTATATTTCGACCACAACAGTTTAACTTATGATTTTTCCTTCTGGAAAAAAAAAACAGTTTTTATCCACAACGTTTCCGATTTATTTTAATCTTTCCTCAGGTGAGTTAACGACTATACACGGAACAAATATTTCTTACATTTTTAGATCAACATGGTTATCATTGTTTCTTCACTACTTACAATGGTTAAAACAGTGGTCGTCAATCATTAATATTTTATAACAGTTTATTTCAAAAAAGAGCCAGTGTGGTACATGTTCAGACTCCGAACAAACGTTTTAATATTTTGAAGCTGACTAGACTCTTATCACAACCTCTCATGCGCGTTTCAACCTCTTATCACAGATCAACGAATTAACATTTTAAAAAACCACTCAACAGTTAAAATTACATTTTGCTTAAAAATCCACTTTTAAACAACAATTTTTATTTACTTATTTAGAAATCGTGAGATGCGGTCTGGTGTGATGTAGGTTTCAGAAAAATATTTTCTTTATCGTGCCAACGTTTCGATCTTTATTGAGATCATCTTCAGGGCCTGGGATTTACAAACATTGTTTACATAGAACAATTACATTTTGGATGTGGAAAAGTGAATTTATACAATGCAAAATATATTTTTTATGTATTCAATCAAAGTATTTTTACTCACTCAAAGTGTTTGTCTTCTGTGTCAGTATAGAAAAGACATTTTTGTATAAGGCGTCGGCTTCTTTGAGGTGAAAAGAGCCGACGAAGGGAAAAAATATGTTGGTAATGGTTCGGCCAGATTATTCTTTCAGGATTATATAGAAAGGGATAAATAGGAAAAGGAAAGCTAGATTGTTGGGAAATTAGACTATGTGAAAAATATTTGATGTGTGGAATGTAATGTGATGATATAGGTATGTTATCTGTATTGAATTTGATTAATGATATTGGCGTAGCTGCGACTGAGTTTACATGTATCTGTTCTGTAATTGATGCTGTGTTTATCTCTGTTGATATAAACCATTTCTAAGAAATTACGTTTATGTTTGTTTTGTTCTGTGTGTAATACTTTTGGATTTTTGAAGTCGAAATTGTGTTGGTGGTCAAGATGGTGGGTAGTGAGTGCTGTAGGATTTTGCTTAGTTTTTTTGCAATCGTAGATATGTTGCTTTACTCTCTTGTGCAGAACGCTAATCCAAATCGTAAATAATGTCCTACCAGTTTGACTTTCGACGATAGCACTCTATGACTCTATGATTCACGAGGTTTCCCGAATCACCAGTCATTAAACAAACCCTTGAAAGAGTACTATTATCTGAAGGCTTTTCGAAAAAAAAACGTTTAAACCTGGACCTAAAAATTGTAGTCTCCAGATAACCCTACATATGTGGTGATTAGTGACCGTTAATCGATAATTATTCAGAAATCGTGAGATGCGGTCTGGTGTGATGTAGGTTTCAGAAAAACATTTTCTTTATCGTGCCAACGTTTCGATCTTTATTGAGATCATCTTCAGGGCTCAAAGTGTTTGTCTTCTGTGTAATTGTGCAATGTAATAATTAAAATCCCAATATTTCTAGCATGTTTTGTGAGGGTATAAGGAGGAAGTGGCACCAACGTGTCCACTCTCAACACGACACGCAAGAATGGCACAATTACACAGAAGACGAACACTTTGAACCCTGAAGATGATCTCAATAAAGATCGAAACGTTGGCACGATAAAGAAAATGTTTTTCTAAAACCTACATCACACCAGACCGCATCTCACGATTTCTGAATAATTATACATAACCCTACACTTGATCAGACCTGACTCATTTAAATATTGTACAGAACCACAGTTGGGAATATTGTTCCAATCACCTTTCTTAAAAATTGGCGCAATGCAGGATTCATTCAAATTTCTAGTATGATTACCAAGTCCAAACCCGATAGGAAGGACATTAATGGCCTCATGGGAACCAGAAAATTTTAGTGTATATTGGGTGTTTGAATCATTTTAATTATCGGAAATGGGCAATAGGAAAAAAATCCATTCGTTGAAATTGAAATTATGCGGTACCGAATGCACTGTTGTATTTGAATGTGGAGAATCGAAAATCTCTGTTGGGCAGGATTTTTGTATTGTGTTATATTTAAATCATATCCTGTTGTTTTTCGAAAACGGTAGTTGTTTTGTAGTTCTACATCTGATGAAATTAGAATCATATATTAAAATTTATGACCAACTAATTGCTCAACGTAATACTTTAACAGCATTAAATTATAACTGTACGTTATAAAAGGAATAATTTTATCTGACACCAATTAAATTTAAAAAGAGATCAAACTAGATTATTCAAAAGAAAAAGAAGCAAAGGGCTTAATAGTTCATTAATTACAATGCGATTACTGTCTCTGTCTGCCCTGAGGTGCTTACTAAGTTTAGAAGATAAGATTTTTTTTTATCAAAGTGTGAAAGGTGGACGATAATCAACTTTTAATAAATCCAAGTTTTATTTAAAAATAGATCCAAGATAGATAACACTAAAAATAACTACAATTGACTGCTTTTATGAGAGAAAAAAATTGTACAAAAAGAAAGTAGACAACACAATGCCTAAAAACTGGCCAGAATTTGTTGATAATATAATTTCCATGAAGATTATAACTCGATTTCAAAACTCGTACTGTTACAATAGAGATAAGAACAAATTTCCTACGTTTTGTTTCTCGAATCAGAGGTTATTGTACTAAAAGGTCTACTAGTTGCATTGTTCCCGGCAATGTATTAGATAGGAGGCCGCTTGAATTAATAATTAATTAATTAATTCAATGGTATAAAGGTAATGTTTCTAGCCAGAAATGCCATTGTCTTCACGTGTGAGCCGTTTGTGTAGGTAACTGAAATGTTACTTCCACCCAAGGCCCTTTTGCCTCTGTGAAAATCCCCCCTGTGGCTTTCATCTCTACTTTAGTGCCACTCGAGGGTTAGCTAAGTGACACTGGGTTATTGTCTGGCACAGTGTCCTATCTGCATATGCATACCCTCATCTAGTATAGCCTTAATTAGCGTTCAGCTTTCAACACATCGTACACATATAAATATACATTTACATCAGTTATATATTGGCACCTTGTTGACATAATGCGAATATGTGTTTAGGGTCGTAAGATCGTAAATTTTACTGCATATTCCCGCTAAAACTAACATCCGCATAACCAATGGGAGTGCAAGGAAATTACAATTTGTTTTTGCTTTTTCTTTACAAACATTATTATAGTTTGCTATACAAAATACTTCGAAATAAGGACTTTTATACACTATGGCAGCAATTGTAAATAACAGCCAAGACTTAGCTTTTGTTACTTTTGTCATAAAAATGGAACTGAATAGCCGAAAAGAAAATGGTTGTTTTTATGCAAAGAGCACAGATAATACTAACTGGAGAACCGACAAATGAACTCTCCACTTCAGACGTCACACCCACAGGATGAAGCATCGAATTAAAGAAAAACTCAGCCATTGAGAAAAATAGGCGCATTCATTATCAAAAACACTATCGATTCAGTGAGAATATGTGTTGTGTTTGAAATAAAACTGAAGAGTTACTCAAAATAATGCAAACCCTTTTCATGCGTACATTAATATTTTTATTTTTGCAAGCTATAAAACAGTACAAAAACCGTACCTGAAGCAGCATAATGAACTGATCACACATTGTATGCATAAAAAAAAGAAGAGAAAAACTAATCTAATTAATTGGTATGCGATGTTTGTCCATCCTAGCTTAATAAATGAGCCAACTTTCCTCTTTCTACGATTAATTAAGGTTTTTAGTTGAGATAAAAAAGTCAATGGCACGAGCGGGATTCGAACCCACGATCTTCGGCTAGATACGCCGCTGCTCTACCACCTGAGCTATCGTGACCTCGATCCACTCGGACACCAACTTCCTATCTCAACCCCACCTCTTTCTGTTATCTATTTTGGCGGTTTCGTAGGGTACGCGTCATGTTAGGGGGATAATTGTTGCTGAGGAAAAAATGAGAAGGACTTTATGCTGGCTTGGCACCTGTCAGCTACCTGAAGCAAGGCTGACTATTGCTATGCACTATTACTATGCAATATAAAAAAATTGTATTGATCAAATTTCAAATAACGTGTCAGGTTCACAATTGAGTCTGGTTAAAATACCTATCCTTGCAAACTATGGACAAAATAATAGTTACCTAAACAGAAGCAATTCAAAATAAACCATAAGAATGAGAATGTAGAAAATAATACGACATAAAAAATTTATAAACATTATTAGCTATTAAAAACATTATTTTATCATAAACCATAAAGAATACCACAATGATAATTTATTTTGTTTTTACAAAATAATAAATATCTTATAAAAGGATATTTTACTTAAAGGAAAAACATACCGAGTCATTATTTATAAACTACTCCCCTTTATTTCTTTTGTTTGGAAATAATTTCAAAAAATATGACTGGTATTTACATAAATTTTTAAGTAGAATCTGACTCTGAAGTCAAAATTTTTTTTCAACGTACGGTACGTCCCCAGGGCTGAGCAACTTTTTATTCAATTGGGAAGGTATCATTTTGAATACGGAATAAAATTCTACGACTTTCTTTAAGACGATTTTACTTCAGGCACTTTTCTCGTTGAATTTGTCGTTAAAGAGTCTTTAAGATTTTAAAAAAAAAGTTCAAATTTTATATATCTCAATCATTTACGTCCTAGTAATTTTAAGTCAATTACTAATTCAATTACTTTCTAGTAACTTGATTAGGTTAATCCTAGTAAATTAAATTTTCAAAATGGGCACCAACTATCCCCATACAAAGCCAAATTCTAATATGGAAATCATTTCGTACTTCACGGAAAGTATCTGCGAATTAGAGTCATCCCAATATCGGCAATTGTGGCGATTCAATTCTTTGGCTTATAACTACACACTGAATAATTGCTCTGAGCTGATTCAATGTTTATTCACAAACCAAAGAATTGAATCGTCACAATTGCCGATATTGGGATGACTCTAATTCGCAGATACTTTCCGTGAAGTACGAAATGAATTCCATAATAGGATTTTGCTTTGTATGGAAATTGGTAGTGCCCATTTTGAAAAGGTTACTAGGAAGAAATTGACTTAGTAATGAACATAAAGTTAATATTAGGAGGTAAATAAATGACGATTGAGATAAATAAAATTTAAACTTTTTTTAAACCTTAATAACTCTTAAACAACATACTCTACAAGAAAAGTGCCCAAAGTAAACTCTTTAAAAAAAGTTCGTAGAATTTAATTTCGTATTCAAAAAGATATCTTCTCATTTGAAAAAAAAATTGCTTAGCTCTGGGGACTTACCGCAGGTTGAAGAAAAATTTGGACTTTAGATTCAGATTCTACTTAAAAAATTATGTGGTGTTTAGTGACCGTTTGTTAATGATTATTCGGAGATCGTGAGATGCGGTCTGGTGTGACGTAGGTTTTAGCAATTTATTGTGCCTACGTTTCGATCTTTATTGAGATCATCTTCAGGGCTCAGAGTGTTTGTTTTCCGTGTAAACGTGTCATTTTTGTCTGTCGTGTTGAGAGTGTCACATAATGAGACATCTACACCGAAAACAAACACATTGAGCCCTGAAGATAATCTCAATAAAGAGCGAAACCTTGGTACGATATCGAAAATGTTTTTAAAAACCTACGTCACAACAGACTGCATCTCACGATCTCCGAATAATTAAAAAATTATGTAAAGACTAGGCCTATTTTTTATATTATTTCCAAACAAAAGAAATAAAAGGGTGAGGAAGTTTATAAATAATCACCTGGTATAAAAGAGGAAAATTTATATTAAAAGATAAATTATTTAGAGCGAAATTTTCTTATTGTGGAAGCAACAATCGAATCATACAAACCGTTAAAGTTTTTATAAATGTTTCATTATTTGTGACAATTAATAGAAATCTGAAAATTTTAGTCCCTCGATCAAAGTTAAAACAAACAAAGTCCTTTCTATTGACCGTGAACTAGAATTGACCAATAAATTTGTAAATCGGTCAGTAAATCAATCAACGGCTAATAAAGATCCACGGCTTCTTCGCATCTAACAAAGGACGTGGTCAGATGATAGTGGATATTGAAGAATAGGGCGGTTTTTGCGCTTGACAATTACTAGTTGCCAGGGCGCACTTGGGCAATCTCAAACCAAACCGCAGCAGAAACCGCACGGCCCTTCACACTCTGGTAATTGGTTCTACAAACTAGTCAAGGGCGGTGGGATGGAAGCGTTGAATTAATTTTTGCAACACCAAAGTTCAGAAAGCTCGACGTTTAGCATTATTACTCTCGGTGACACATTCAATTAGTATCTAAAAAGTTTACTTAAAATGTCTTAAGTTTTGTCTACATGTGGAACTCAAGTGTCAACTGATAAACCGCCTTTTAGGTTTTATACGTCAGAATATATTTAATCGTAAAAGCTAAAATATAGTTCGATACTGAGTGATGATGAAGTGGTATGATTATATCTACGCTATGGACGTACCGAGGTTGTCCAGTGGACCGGATGCGGATGGGTTGAACTTTTCCGCATAAGCATCCAAAGTCGGAAATAAAGCGTCGATGCATAATTCCTGCAGAGACGAGCAGACGGTTTTCGGACGACCCATCGCGAGGCCTGACTTAACACGACTTTACTTTGCCCGGTTTATTCAACGTACCGTGCCAACCACGCCCAGACACAGCGGGTCAAGGATCAAATCGTTAAAATACGCCCCCCGGCGATACAATTTCGTGTCTGTAAATTTCACAATATATAACACAAACTATCTTCTATTTGTTTTTAATCATATTTTTATTCTTCATTATTTATAGGACATCTTGCAGTTAAACTATCCATAAAATGAAAAAAATGACCACAAAAACGAAAAGAAACTCTTAGGAATGTTCAGACTGGTGAGAAGGCGAAATAAAATAAAGGGTGAAGGTTATTTGCAAAGATTTGGTTTTATTTGTTTTTTTTTTTCGATTTATTTTGTACTAACTGGAATCCGCTCTTCTATTTCTTTATGCATAGTAGACAGAAACCTCTTTTAATAAAGAGTAAGTGTTTTTACCATAAATGTTAACAATACTATTATTATTCATGTATAAATTTATCTTTCCGCATTAAAATTAAAGGCAGAGAAATTTAAAATTAATTATTTATTACATCCTACTAGTTAATTAAAATTTTTACTCTTTTTTATTTAACAAGGAGAAAAAATGATAAAAATTATTTATAGAGAAACTGTACGAATTTAAATTATTTTTTAAAATCAATATCAAAATTGGCCAATATTATTATGTATCTCCGTTGGAAATAAGCTTTTAGCGGACTTATTTAAATTGTAGTGTTTTTACATAAGTTTTAATTCAAAACAGATAGATTGATATGTGAATACTTTTAATTACAAAATGATTGAACAGGAATTAAAACAGGATTGTAACCTTCTGATCAAGTACGGATATATTTTTACCATTTACTTCCACCGATTTCATATTTCGTGTTTAATGGCCGAAATCGTAGATTTTGTTTGATAAAGCTGCTTCCGTATTTTCTCCATTCAGTAAGTTAAATACCTTTAATTAAAGTAGATTACCAAAAGTTTCAAAATACACTCAAAGACAAACAATCGGACCCTCGTATTACTTTAAACTATATGCGTTTTTATTGTTATATTAATTAGAACGTCGCCGAGAATCCACCGATTACACGACATTTGAAAGATGGCAAAAAGGAGGGAAAACTCAAAAGGTGGGGTTGAGCTGGGAAGTTACTGTCCGAGTGGGTCGAGGTAACGATAGCACAGGTGGTAGAGCAGCGGCGTATCTAGCCGAAGATCGTGGGTTCGAATCCCGCTCGTGCCAATGACTTTTTTATCTCAACTAAAAACCTTAATTAATTGTAAAATATTAATTGGTCAAGCGGACCACGAAATTAGTGAAATTAATTACAACAACATATTTTAATGTTTACCAAATTAAACGATACCAGAAACAAGTTTTAACAAAAATTATTTCATTATGATCGTCTGAAATAAAATTGATCAAAATATTGGAAAATCTTTTAGTGATAGATTAAAATTTAACTAAAATTTTATTACCTAGTTTTAAACTTAATAACCTGTATTATCTCCTCTGGTCTCGCGAAGGGGCTTAGTTCTCCTACGCAGCGAGTAAATAAGCGATCGGGTTTCGACTTGTGAAACTGAATACCATTCTTCAACATGAGCGATTTGAAGCTCTTCAACGGTTGTTGGAGGCGGCGAATGATGTCTAACCCGTCTCTTTATCATGTACCATAAGTTTTCTATAGAATTCTTGCCAGGAGAACGTGCTGGCCAATTCACGGCAGTAATCCCCCTTCATCATCCAAGTAATGGATGACAACTCTAGATACGTGCGGTCGAGAATTATCATGCATTAACACGACGTTATCCTTAATTAAGCGAATGGGACCACAACTTCAAGAAGAGCATCCCTAATATTCTTTAGAGCAGTCAAAGGTCCATTCTGTATATTTTTTATTAATAAATTTGTTTATTAAAACTGGTCCAACGAGACCACTTATTAATTTTATAATCGTCAATTTAGTAATAAGTACACTTTAGTCCTCTCATTAGTATCATAGTTTGTGTAGTCGAGTACACCCTATCACATTTTACGGAACTACTAAGAAGTGCTGACTGTAGAAGGCGGCGGGAATCTGTATTCAGGTGGCTTTTAAGATGTATGTGTTATAAGCATACCGTGTGGTCTCAGTGTACGACTATTTTTGTGTATTTCTATGTTATTGCAAACATCCCAAAGAGTATTTACCATAATTCGTAGAACGTTTTGGAACCGTTGTGTTATGACTGTAATGCTTCGTTTGGCACATCCCCAAAGTAGTATATCATATATCCACATTGTATATCATATATATATATATATNTATATATATATATATATGTATGTACGTATATATATACTTAAAGATTAATTAATTAAAAAGAATTTATTTGGTCAATCGCACCACGAAACCTATTCGATCTATTTACATAGGTTTTTATATGTGATTAAAAATCATTGTTTAATTTTTTATTGATAGCCTTGAATTTGTTCCCAGCAACCAAATAAAGTTAACGATATATGAAATTTAGTTCTTTCTTTTTCGTTTTGATGTGTTTCCAAATTATTTTTTTATGTATTGTCATGCGTAAATGTTCAACTGAAATTTTGGATGGAACTACTTTACCCCTGAGGACAACTGGCTCGTCCACAATTTTCTATTTGTGAAATTTACATGTACGGATTTCTGATCGTTTTTGTGTTTTTTTTTTTGGCCTTCCATATATCTGCTCAGACATTTTGGCTCCTGAAAGGTTAAAATTATACCAGTTTTCTTTATTTCTAAACTAAAGAGTGTAAAAGGATTAATAAAACTCCATATAGATAAACGACAAGTTATTTAATGTTTTGTTTACGTTTTAAGTCAGCTATTAATCTTTATACATAGTTATTGCGGAAAAAGAACAATTAAACAAAAGTTCCGAATTTTATTTTTATTTATTATATATATATAATTACTAATAATAATATATAATAATATATTACTTTTAATGATAAAGCATAATAATAATTGTGATTATTTCAAATTTTATATATTCACTCAGGATTTTTATAGTTTTAGACTGATTTTTGGTTTTTAATTTAATGGTAAAATTAGTATCTTTCTAATTGTTGTTAGAGTTTTAATTGTATTGTTATAAATTTGAGTTGTGTTTAATACTATAGAAACGGCTTAAAATGCCATCACAAACAAACCACTATTTCTGTTTTGTACTTTTTACGACTTTACTCAAAATATTGTAATATTTATTACCAAAGTGTAATTTCTTCATCATCTTTCATTCATTATGGATAACTCTTAATTCAGTTGGTATTTATCGTGAATACACTTGGAAAAATCATGATTGTGTCAATGAGAGATGCCTCAAATAGTGCCTAATAAGAGATTATTCGGACATCTAGAGATGCGTTCTGGTGTTAGATTTTCTTATGACCACCTCACGACGGAATTGCGCTCATTATGTTTGTATGTGTGTTTCAACAGCGCCAACAAAGATTATTCGGAGATCGTGAGATGCGGTCTGGTGTGCCGTAGGTTTTAGAAAAACATTTTCTATATCGTGCCAACGTTTCGATATTTATTGAGATCATCTTCAGCGAATGGGATTTATAAACAAACATTGTTTGAATTTTACAAATACATGTAGAATGTAAAAAAAATGAATTTATACAATGCTAGAAAATTTTAGATAAAAGAATATGAATTTATGCAATGATAGAAAATTTTATATTTAAAATAGAAGAATTTATACAATGCTAGAAAATTTTAAATTAAAACAGTGAATTTATATAATCATAGAAAATTTTAGATTTAAATCTAAAAATTCTTATCATGATATAAATTCATTTTTTATTTCCGTTTATTTCAATTAAGATCGAAACATTGGCAGGATAAAGAAAATATTTTTCTAAAACCTACGTCACACCACACGGCATCTCATGATCTCCCAATAATCATTGACTAACGGTCACTAAACACCACACATACATAATAAGAGAACATGAAGTTTGAAATATTTATCCGTGAAATTAAAGCCGTTTGCTTATTTTCGAAATTGTTGTTAAAAACAAGAGACGATTGCAGTCATTTTTTCTTTTTAAAAAATTTAATGTTTTAAAGTCTCGTAAAATTGTCCAAGCCTCGAAATTTTGAGTGATTGCCATAAGCGTTAGAGCGGGCTCAGCTAATGAATAAGCCGGGAGCGGGGTATCCCGGTGGATCGGGACGACTCGAAATATATGGGCCATTTGTTTCAAACGAAACACACGATCATTGATCATCCCATCTCTCGGATAAACCCCAGGCTTGGATCGCAAAGTGTCAAATATGCCATACGCGCTGGATAACCGAAATTTCAAAAAGAAACGGCACAATTGTGTAGTCGGTCGAAGGTAAATTAATAATCTGGCTCTTCATTGTTCTTGGACCAGCGTCTGTCATTTTGAGAACGCCGATTGCCACCGTTTGTGTAAACACGTTACGGTCTAATTCAAATCAAGAACAGCGTGCGGTGACTATTCATCAACCACCGATGTTGACTGTACATAATACGTATTCGATTGTATCGCTTGTATCGAGCATTAGATGATGAGATTCTAATCATAGAGACAATGAAACTTGAACTACGGTTGATACGTTTCTAAGGCCGAAATGTTAGTTATTACATCTGAAATCAATGTTTCCTCTGACTTGCTTATTATCAGCATTATACAAAGGAGTACTTTTCCTGGTACTAAGAACTACTAGGAGTAGTTTTTCCCCATATTTCCAAAATGAAAACTGATCTTCCTAAGCCAAAAACTAAACTATAAATTTCAATAAATTTTATGTGCCTACTTTCTTACATTTGTTTGTTCTCTCATTCCTGATAACACACAGATTTATAAAATGACGCTATTGACATGATAACCACCAATCAACCACTGACGACTTAACAATCAATTAAAATAATTCATTATTTTTTTGTACTTAAAATAATTTTTTATTTTCTTATTCTGCATTCTGCCAAATTGTGTATTTATTTGAAGTCTGGTGTGTATGTGGGTTTGTTTGATTGTTTGTCTGTGTGGGGGTTTTGGTATTTTATTTA